CTGGATGAAGGTTCTAGGATGCCATATAAGGAAGTCATCAACCTTATCATCAGGGAGTGGCTGTTAATGTAGTCTCTCCGCTACTGCTTAGTTTGCCAATTGGTGCTATCATTGTAGATCTCTGGAAATCTCAGCACTGTCTTCAAACTTATAATGACTCCATCTATTATTGTACCTCTCATCCTTCTCTCTTCTATTCTTACCTTGACTCAACTTTCCTGGTCCACCATGCTTTCTTCTCCCCTCCTCTTATCCCCCTCTCTTTTCCCTGGTTTCCTCTCCCCTCAACCAATGTTCCCTATCTGCTTGGAAGATCTTGCCTCATTCCACTTCTCTGGGGTATCATTCATATCTCTTGGGAACATCTCTGTTTCCCAGACTCACTGCACCTGGGACTGTAGGCTGGCACTCCCATGATCCATGTCTAAAATCGATATATGAGTGAGTACATACCATGTTTGTCTTTTTTTGACTGGGTTATCTCACTCAGGATGGTTTTCTCTAGTGCCTGCAATTTGCCTACAAATATCAAGATTCCATTGTTTTGCTTTCCGCCGAGTAGTACTCCATTAAGTAAATGTACCACATTTTCTCTATCCACTCTTCAGTTGTGGAGTATCTAGGTTGCTTCCAGGATCTAACTATTACAAATAATGCTGCCATGAACATAGTGGAAGAGACACCCTTGTTGTATGAGTGGGCATTTATTGGGTATATGCTGAAGAGTGAAATTGCTGGATTTTGTGGTGGACTGATTCCCATTTTCCTGAGGAAACTCCATACTGATTTCCAAAATGGCTATATAAGTTTGCATTCTGACCAGAAATGGACGAGTGTTCCCCTTTCTCCACATCCTTCCCAGCATAAACTGTCATTTGTGTTTTTGATTTTAGCATTCTGACAGGAGTAACATGATATCTCAGAGTTGTTTTGAGTTCCATTTTCTTAATGGCTAAGGATGTTGAGCACTTTCTTAAGTGTCTGTCAGCAATTTTAGACTACTCTGCTGAGAATTTTCTATTTAATTCTGTGCCCCACTTTTTAATTGGATGCTTGGTGTTTTGGAGAGATGCTTCTTGAGTTCTTTGTAAATTTTGCAGATCAGTCCCCTCTCAGATGTGGGGTTAGTGAATATCTTTTCCCAATCTATGGATTGCTTTTTTGTCTTGCTGACTGTGTCCTTTGCCTTACAGAAGCTTCTCAGTGTCAGGAGGTCCCATTTATTAATTGTCTATCTCAGTGTTTTTGCTACTAGTGTTATGTTCAGGAAGCTGTCTCCTGTACCAATTCATTCAAGGGTGCCTGCCACTTTCTATTCTAATAGTTTCAGTGTTGCTGGATTTGTGTTGAGGTATTTGATCCATTTGGACTTAAGTTTTGTGTGTGTCAATAGACATGGATCTATCTATAGTCTTCTACATGCCAAATGCAGTTATGCCAGTGCCACTTGTTGAAGATGTTATCTTTTTTCCACTGTATAATTTTAGCTATTTTGTCAAATATCAGGTGTTCGTGGGTTTGTGGATTAATCTCAGGGTGTTCAATTCGATTCTATTGGTCTACCTGTCTATTTTTGTACCGATACCAAGGTGTTCTCTGTACTATAGTTCTATAATAGAGCTTGAAGTCAGGGATGGTGATGCCTTCAGATGTTCCTTTGATGAGCAGGTTATATTGGCTATCCTTCATTTTTTGTTTTTCCATATAAAGTTGAGAATTGTTCTTTCAAGGTCTGTGAACAATTGTGCTGGGCTTTTGATGGAGGATTGCATTGAGTCTGTAGATTGCTTTTGGCAGCATTGCCATTTTTACTACATTGATCCTACCTATCCAAGAGAATGGAAGATCTTTCCATTTTCTGGTATCTTCTTTAGTTTCTTTCTTTAAAGACTCAAAATTTTTGCAATACAGGTCTTTCACTTGTTTGTTTAGCATTACCCCAAGGTATTTTATGTTGTTTGTGGCTCTCATAAAGGGTGATGTTTCTCTGATTTCTTTCTCAGCCCTTGTATCATCTGTATATAGTACTGTTACTGATTTTCTTGAATTGATCTTTTATCCTGCCAATTTGCTGAAGGGAGTTATCAGTTGTAAGAGTTCCCTGATAGAGTTTTTCTGGCACTTATGTAAACTGTTATATCATCTGCTAACAGTGAAAATTTTACCTCTTCCTTTCTAATTTCTATCCCCTTTATATCCTCATTTTGTCTTATTGCTCTGGCTAGAATGTTGAGTACAATATTGAAGAGGTATGGGGAGAGGACACAGTCTTGTCTTGTTCCTGATATTAGAGAAATTGCCTTTAGTTTCTCTCCATTCAGTTTGATGTTAGCTGTTTGTTTGCTGTCTATAGGTTTTATTATGTTTCTGCTATTCCAGATCTCTCAAAGACCTTTATCATGGAGGGGTTTTGGATTTTTTTCGAAGACTTTTTCAGCATCTAGTGAGATTATCATGTGATTTTTGTTTTGCAGCTTGTTTATATCATGGATTACATTGATTGATTTTTGTGTGTTCAACCAACCCTGCATCCCTGGAATAAAGACTACTTGATCATGGTGGATGTGTGTTCTGATTTTTTCTTGTATCTGATTTGCCAATATTTTATTGAGTATTTTTGCATCAATGTTCATGAGGGATATTGGTCTGAAGTCCTCTTTCTTTCTTTTTTTTTTTTTGGTTTTTACGAGACAGGGTTTCTCTGTTTTGGAGGCTGTCGGTCCAGCCTGGCCTCGAACTCACAGAGATCCGCCTGCCTCTGCCTCCCGAGTGCTGGGATTAAAGGCGTGTGCCACCAATGCCCGGCTTTGAAGTCCTCTTTCTTAGTTGTGCCTCTGTGTGGCTTGGATGTCAATGTTATTGAAGCCTTGTTTGGCAAATGCCCTTCTGATTCTATTGCATGGAATACTTTGAGGAGATTTGGCATAACCTAGTCTTTGAATTTCTCGTAAAATTCTTCTCTGAAGCCATATGGCCCTGGGCTCTTTCTGGTTGGGTGATTTTGATGAATGCTTCTATTTCCTTGGGTACTAAAGGTCTTTTAAATTGTTTATCTGCTCTTGATTTATTTTGGTAAGTGATATCTATCCAGAAAATTGTCAATTTCCTTTAGATTTTCAAATTTTGTGATGTACAAGTTTTCAAAGTATTACCCGATGATTCTCTGGATTTTGTCATTGTCCGTTGTTATGTCCCCCTTTATGTTTCTGATTTTGTTAATTTGCATGTTCACACTCTGTCATTTGGTAAGTTTGGATAAAGGTTTGTCTATCTTGTTTATTTTCTCAAAGAACCAACTCTTTGTTACATTGATTCTTTGTTTTCCTAGTTTCTACTTTATTGATTTCGGCCTTCAATTTAATTATTACCTGGTGTCTGCTCCCCTGGGTTGAGTTTGCTTCCTTTTGTTCTAGAGTTTTCAGGTGTGCTGTCAATTCTCCAGTTTTTTCATGTGTGCACTTAGTGGTGTGTACTTTCCTCTTAGCACTGCTTTCAAAGTGTCCCATAAGTTTGCATATATTATGTCTTCATAGTCATTGAATTCTAAGAAGTCTTTAATTACTTTTTGTTATTTCTTCTTTGATCCAGGAATGGCATAATTGTGCATTATTCAATTTCCATGAATTTACAGGGTTTCAGCAATTTGTGTTGTTGTTGAATTCTAACTTTAATGCATGATGATCTGATAAGATACATGGAGATATTACAATTTTTTGTACCTGTTGAGGTTTGCTATGTTGCTGAGTATGTGGTCAATTTTTGAGAAGGTTCTATGTGGCACAGAGATGAAGGTATATGTTGGGGCCTAGCCCCCAGAGGGTCTCTGAGTTGTTTGTCAGCTGATAGCCACAGGTGCATCCTGTTTTCTAGTCCTAGCTTACTTCTCCCACATTGCCCCACTGACTTCAACATCTAGCAGGAGGAAAACACACTCTCTTCCACCTGGGGTTTTTCTACTGTGTTGTAAGACTATATAAGATTGCTCCCTCCTACAAGAGAGAGGCCTCTTAGCACTTGCAAAATAAAGACAAGAGAGAGACCTTTTAGCACTGGAAGTAAAGACACTTCTTAGTACAAACAGCTGGACATCTGGTCTTCTTTTCCTGATACCTCGGAGTTGCTTGTGGTGCAGGCACTGCAACTAGAGGTGCCATCAAGATCCAGAGAGACTTGGAAAGACTGGGAAAGATCATCCAGAAATAAGACTCAGGAGACAAGAGACTCAAGAAAGAAAAGATTACAAAACAGGTACCTCAACTTCTAACAGTAAAACTGAATGGTCAAATCTCCAGGGTTTTGCTTGAGAGCTCACCTTCTAAGGAGAAGGTGTATTAAATTAATCTCCAGCCTTTTGCCTGATCCATTGTGGTCAGGAAAGTAAAGGGCAACTGAGAGATCACCCTCAAAGGCTGGACAGCAAGCAAGGCTATGAGGGTGTATTGGAAAGGGGTACCAAGTTAGGGATACTAGGTTAAATCTCCAGGCCTTCACCCACAAGGTTGGGAAAGAAAGGGGAACCTGAGAGATCACCCTCAGTTGGAGGGTGTATTGAATAAATCTTAAGGCTTTTGCCTGAGGTATCAACCTTGGTTGGAGGATGGATTAAAAATAGGTGAATTGAAAATTTGTAACAGTTAGTAAACAAGGTACTGATATTAAGTGAAAGAAAAGAAAAATGTAAAAGTATATGGAATGGAAAATACACAGAGATTCTGGATACTATGTGCTGTTGTGTTGTCTTTAAACTGTGTAATTGCTAAGAAAGAAACAAAAACTACTAAAAGACATTTGATTATCAAGGCTGCTGAAATAATCCAACTTACATATTTTGAAAATGCTTTTACTTCTAAATTTAAATATAAGGACAGCTTACTTGGGAAAAATTCTGCTTTCATTTCCACAGAAAATAAAAAGCTGTGGGTTCCTTCCAGACTAGTATGGTTTGATGAAGCAAGACCTCCGGAAGCAGTGGCCCAAGTGATTCAACATCTAAAACAGCTAAGATGATGCAGCCTTACAGAGCCTGAATCTGAAAATAAGGACTTATACAGGTTTCTGAGTTTTGTCATGATCTCCATGGCATGAACAGTGCCCCTTAACAATAGGAAGTAGTTTGGAAAGAACGATGCCCACATTCCCAAATATTGTTTATAAATGTTTGTTTGCATTTATACAGGGTTGGTTATTGCTACAAATTTAAGGTCAATTTTGTGATTCATCTCTAAAAACTTTTTACAAGGAGTTGGTATGGCTGTAGCCCCTGAGAAAAATAGCAAAAACCTATAACATGGCCTAAGTGCCAAAGAAATTTGTATGGAAGATTCTAAAGAGTATCAAACAGTTCAAACAAAATTTCAAAAAATAAAAAAGGGGGAAATGTTGGGGCCTAGCTGTTTCTGGGGTCTCTGAGTTGTTTGTCAGCTGATAGCCACAGGTGCATTCTGTTTTCTAGTCATGGCTTACTTCCCCTACATTGCCCCAGTGACATCAACTTCTAGCAGGAGGAAAACATGCTCTCTTCTACCTGGACTTTTTCTACTGTGTTGTAAGACTATATATAAGACTGTGCCCTCCTACAAGAGAGAGGCCTCTTAGCACTGGAAATAAAGACACTTCTTAGTACAAACAGCTGGACATCTGGTCTTTATTTTCCTGATACTTCAGGGTTGCTTGTGCTGCGGGCACTGCAGTATATTCTTTTGTGTTTGGATGGAGTGTTCTAGGCATGTTGGTTAAACCCAATTGGGTCATAACTTCTATTAATTCCTTCATATCCTTGTTAAGTTTCTGTCTGGTAGTCCTGTGTAGTGGTGAGAGTGGGATGTTGAAATCTCCCATTATAAGTGTATGAGGTTTTATTTTATTTTTTCCAGAGCTGAGGACTGAACCCAGGGCCTTGAGCTTGCTAGGCAAGCGCTCTACCACTGAGCTAAATCCCTAACCCCATGTATGAGGTTTTATATGTGCTTTGAGTTTTAGTAATGTTTCTTTTATGAATGTGGATGCCTTTGTATTTGGGGCACAGATGTTCACAATTGAGACTTCATCTTGGTGGATTTCTCCTGTAGTGAGTATGAACTGACCTCCTTCATCTCTTTTGATTGATTTTAGTTTAAAGTGTAATTTTTTAAATATTAGCATTGCTACCCTAGCTTGTTTCTAGTGTCCATTTGATTGCAAAATCTTTTCCCAACCCTTAACTCTGAAGTAACGTCTGTCTTTGAAGCTGTGGTGTGTTTCTTGTATGCAGTATTAGGAAGAATTCTGCCACTAGTGAGAAATTCACAGATCCACAAGAATGACATGAATTGGCATTAAGACTATCTTAAATGCTCTCACAGGATAATGAGATTCATGATTATTTGATATGCCATCCTAGAACCCCAATCCTGTGTCTGACAGAAGCAGAGCTAAAAACTAAACTGAACACCTGGAACCCAGTTGCAAAGAAGATTGATGAGCAAAGGAATCAAGACCAGGCCGGCAAAACCCAGAGAGGTAGCTGACCTAAACTAGGGAGAACACATGGACCCCAGAATGATTACTGAGATGCCAGCATAGGAGTGATCCAGACACATACCCCTGGGTGTCAGAGAAGAGGTCTTGGCAATCTATGGTACCTTGGGGAGTAGATAAGTATTTATTCCTGGCATACAAATAAACTCTGGAGCCCATTCCACATGGAGGGATGCTCTTTAAGCCTGGATTCACGGGGGAGGACATTGACCCTTCATGGGAAGATATGACAGACTCTGAAAATCCCTCATAGAAGCCCTCAGTCTTCCTGGGGAGCCAAGGGGGGATGGAGTGGGGTGGGAAGTTGGGAGAAATGGGGGTCTGTGGGAGGAGGGGAGAGAGGGGGAACTGAATGTAAAATGTGTATAAAGTTAAATAAAAATTATACATAGGCTTGGGAGAGAAAACAAAAAAGGGATAAGTAGCTTAAAATGTAATAGAAGAGGTGGTTGTGGTGGCCCATATGATAGAATTTGCTCAGGAGACAGAATCAGGAAGATTTCTTTCATTTCAAGGCCAGCCAGTTATATAGAGTGAATTGCAGGACAGGAAAAGTTCACAGAGGAATCCTATCTCCAAAAGTGGAAAAAAATTAAAAGGGAAAGAAACACAGTAATAAAAAGATCAGGTAAAGATGGAAAATACACAGAAAGTCTGGATACTGTATATTATGTTGCTGTCTTTAAATTTTTGATTGCTGAGGAAAGAGCTACAGCTGTTTTAAAAAACTTGATTATAAATGCTGCTGGATTTATACAACTCACATATTTTTTAACATGCTTTGACTTCAAAATTTAAGTTTAAAGACATGTTACATTGGAAAATAATTTCTGATTTCATTTCCACAGAAAATGAGAAGCTGTGCATTCTTGCCAGACTAATAGAGTTTGATCAAGCAAGTCCCCGTGTTGATCCAGATGATACAGAATCCAAGACTGCTGGGATGATGCAGTCTCATATACCACTACAGCCAGGATTTGGTCAGGTTTCTGGGTTTTCTTGGGATCCTCAAAACAGCACACTCAGTCAGCAGGAAGCAACTTGAAGAAAATGATGCACAAAATCCCAAATATTGTTTATAGATATTTGTTTTCATTTAAATGAGTTTGGTTATAAATGGTTAAGGATCACAACCAATTTCTATAGAAAACAAGGGGGTATAATATAAAGATAAATACTTTGAATTGGTATGGAGTTTGATTTATTGATAAAAATTTAAGGTCAATTTTGTTATATGTATTTTTCTCCTCTGGTTTAGTTATTGTGTTTATACAGCTCATTTAAAATGTAATATATAATTAAATACAGATTATATCTAGTCAACTATAATAGTCAAAGCTTTTGTTAGTTAGGTTTTCTAGATACATAGAGATAAATTTCAAATGGATAGGCATTATTCAAACCTTTCAAAGACCTACAGAATATGGCATTTGAAATGGTTTAGGGTTTTTCATGTCAGTAAGACACAACTGGTCCTGTAAAGAGTAATTATATCAAAAGGAGGATGGACATCAAAGAAACTTTATATGGAGTTGCTTTCAAAATGGTGAGACTAGTCATTTGGGCAGGAAACTGCTCTTACATAGGCTGTTTGTATGCTGTCCATACTGGACATATAGGACCCAAAGAAAAGTGACTGCTGAATTTGTCAAAGATTGGACAGTTATGAAGTGTTCCTTCTTCATGAAAGAGTCTACCAGACATTCTGCAGGACAGATAAATGACTGAAAAACTGCCAATACAGGTGAAGAGTTGAAAATATCCTGCTTCACTGAGAAGCCAACCAGACACACTATGGCATATGGGGTGAAGATAGATGTACCAATGTTACAGAGGAACTTTGGATGACTATCCAGGCATCGAGATATCTCTGTCAATTTTAGAGATTGTATATTATCATTCTGTGGTCTTTAATGGAGTTAAAAGAAGATAGTTATGGTTGTAGTTTCCCTTAGTTATGATAATAGACAAATTACATTTACTTTTGAGACTCACAGAGAAATGATAGATAAGATATTTTCTATAAATTTTATCAAATGTTAATGAACTAAATAATGTAATTACAGTTCTTCCTTAATAACTATTTTGTTATATGTAATTTTACTATGTTAAAGTTAACACCTTTCTTTTTAGTTAGACAGAAAAGAGGAAATGATAGTAGATGTTATTCTGTATATGTTTCTCTTATTGGTTGATGAATAAAATACCTATTGGCCAGGCAGGAAGATAGGCAGGGCTAAGAGATGAGGAGAATTCTGGGAAGTGTAGGCAAAGAGGAGTTGGCATGTGAGCCTAGGAAGAGAGGATGTGAGTCAGGAGTTCTCCTGTAAGATAAGATCATGTAGAAATGCATAGATTAGTAGTTATGGGTTAATAATTAAGACAGAACTAGCCAATAAGAAGCCCAAGTCAACAGCCAATGGTTTCATAATTAATATAGTATCTGTCTGTTTTCTTGGGGCTAACATGGCTGTGGGACCAGGCTGGCAGGAAAGAGTGCATGTTACACCTCAGAAAGATGGTAAACAATCTGCATTAATATTCATCTATACCACTCTTGGACATACACACAAATGATGCTTCATCCTATCAAAAGGATATTTCACTCAAACATGTTAATTGCTGCTTTGTTCATAATAGCCAGAAACTGGAAACAACCTAGGAGTCCATCAACAGAAGAATGGGTAAAGAAAATGGGTTACATTTACCCAATGGGGTATTTCTCTGCTGTTAAAAAAATGACTATGTACCCTCCCTGGGGTATGGAGTGGGAGTTCGGGGGTCCATGGGAGGAGAGAAGGGAGAGGGAGCTGGGATTGACATGTGAAGCAACCTTGTTTCTAATTTAAATTTAAAAATAAAAAAATTACTATGAAATTTACAGGAAAATGTATGAAACTAGAAAGTCATCAAAAATGAAAACAGATACATATGATATATATTTGTTTATATTTGATTATTATCCATTAAATAATTGGCAGAAAATCTCTAATCCAGGGACACAGAGAGATTAACCATAGAATTAGTGATTAGAGGGGAATACATATATTACCTGTGAGAAGAAAGTAGAATAGATTTACTAATTCACTTGTTCTTTGACATAGTGGGGCAAGAATGGGAGTATCAGATGGAAAGGTGTAAGGGAAGGTAGACTGAAGGAATAGAATGAGGGCAGAGACACCTAGAATTGAATAGCATTTGAGGACTGTTTGGGGGTCAATATTGATACCTGGTTAAAGTGAAATTTGCTGCAATATATGAAGGCAATCCTAATGAAGTCTCTAAATGGTCAAAGACCCTACTTGCCATCTCTTGTCCTCAAACAAGTAACATTGCTGGGACTGGTTTCATTCAATTAAGTTTTTGGTCAAAGGGGTTTCATGAAAATCCTCAAAACACTCATGATGTTGCCAGGATAATAGGTTGCTCTCCACAATCTAACAGCAAATCCACATTGCTTAAAAAAGCATCCACACAACTCACTGAAAAAGGAAATGGCAAGTTGGCATCTATATAGAATTTTACTGACTTGTTCTAGTGTCTATGACATGGAAAGATACTCTGAAAACTATCAAAAGAGCAGTATATACATCAGCCCAACCACAATACATCCATACTACAATCTGTCCTGCCTGTAAGATATGATATGGCATTGTTGGGACAAACCTTAGAGGAATAATCAACGGATGTCTGAATTGATTTATGGCTCACTCTAAGTGATGGAGTCCATATTTAGAAACTCCTTATGGAGTTTGCTTCCAATATGACAAGACTAGACATGTGGGCAAGAAACTGCTCTTGTCTAGACTGTTTGACTATATAAAGTCTTTATAAAGTAGACATCAGCATCACCAGGAAAGTGATTGCTGAAACAAGATGTGCAATGCTACAGGGTTCCTGCTTCATGAAAGAGTCTGCCAGACTTTCTATAGGACACAGAAAAGTTCCTGACAAACTGCCAATATAAGCAGACAGCGTAAATTTTCCTACTTTGCTGAGGAGACTGCCAGACACACTATGACCTATGGGCTGAAGATGGAACATTACAGAAGAACTTCGGGTGAGTGACCAGGCAGCAAGTTGTCTCTGTCAATTCTGGAGTTTATATATTATCCTTCTGTGGTCATTGATAGAGCTGAAGACAGACAGTTATGGTTATGATTTCATTAGTTATGATAAAAGATAAGTTACATAAAAGACTTTAGACTCACAAAGATAGGATAGATAAAATATTTTCTTTAAATCTTTCTAAATGTTATTGGACTAAATATTTGTAATTATACCTATTGCTTAATAACTATTTTCTTATATATAGTTTGACTATGTTAAAGTTAAAACTTTTCATTTTTGTTTGGTTTTTTGAGACAGGGTTTCTCTGTATTGTTTTGGAGGTTGTCCTAGAACTCGCTCTGTAGACCAGACTGGCTTCAAACTCACAGAGATCTGCCTGCCTCTGCTCCATGAGTCCTGGGGTTAAAGGTGTGTTCCCCCAGTGCAAAAACCTTTCTGTTTATTCAGACAGAAAAGAGGAGATGATGAATGAAGTCTTCTGTACATATGTTTCCCTTATTAGTTGATGAATAACACACTGTTAGCCAATTGGGAAGCAATATAGTTGGGACTAGGAGACAAGGAGGATTCTGGGAGGTATGGGCTTAGTTAGTCATGATGTAGGAGGGCTAGAGGAGTAACATATCTCTGTACATATCTCCGGTAGGAGAAGACCATGTGGCCATGCTCAGATTGATAGAAATGGGTTAGAAATTAAATCAGAGCTAGAAAATAAGAAGCCCCAGACATCGACTAACAGTTTCATAATTAATATAGTGTCTTGTGTATCATTTGGGAGCTCTAATGTGGCTCTAGAACTGGGCAGGAATTCCCAGACAACTTGACACCACTTGGGTGACCAAGAAACAGAGTATAGATAGCCCAGAGACAGTAGGTAAAATCAAATATTACTGATCTTAAAAAATAGTAACAATAAAATGATTACAATCATATATCAGTGCTTTATTCAACTATCATGAGAGTCTTCCTCCTGTGGCAAATGGGACGAAATACAGAGACCCAGAGTAAGACATTATATTATGCAGAGAGAGAAACAGACACACAAACACACACATGCATACAGAGAGAGAGAGAGAGAGAGAGAGAGACAGAGACAGAGACAGAGACAGAGAGAGATAGAGAGAGAGAGAGAACCTGTTTGGTGTTCCACTGGTTGAGAATGAAGGTTGTCTAATAGCCCAGATATCACCTGTGCTATTTGTAGGTCCAGGCCATACCTGACTCTTCTTAGATCCTGCAATAAGCATCAGATTTGCAAAATCTAGGTGACTTTATGGTATCAGTATGACTGAGACTATACCAAATCTTCCCATAGGGCTATAAGGTGACACATGTAGTATATCTACAGGACCAATTTTCATGGAAGACACGACATATACTTTGAGAAAAGTTTCAATGTCATTATGCATGTTTGTGCACATAGGATTGTGGTATAGCAGGAAACTTTTCCAAATTGGTCTGTTCTTAAACATGCCTAAAATGAACTGCCCAGTATGAGACTCTATAATTTTGAACCAACACTGGCTACTGTGTTATGTAGAACTGGATTTACTTTTATATTCACATGGATTGTAATTCTGCAGACCCTGTTTTTTTTCAGAGACTTCCACACATCCTGTCATCAGGTTTTACTTTATCTTCCCCTTGTTTTGCTATGATATATAATCTGTTTGAGGCCAAAACATGTTTTATTTTCAGCCCCTTGAGAAGCCATATATCCTTAAGTTCACTACCATTCATTATGATGAGACAATTTCTATATTTTTATATAGATCATAGTTGCATATATATGCACATATATGTAATTGTATTTGTAGTTTTTCTAGTTATAATTCTAGAGTTTGTATAATTGTTTAATAATGTCTTTGACTTTTCTCCTCATTCTGCCTTAGAACTACCATCCCCAAATCTATTTTTGCTATGTACTTAGCTGTTGAAATATGTTCACCACTTCTCTGATATCTGCTTATATATAATCCATATTATTTTCATTGAAAAGTCAAGTCCATCTGATGCTTCTGGACTTTTTAGTCTAAATTCTCACATTTCCAGTCAATGAAATCCCAAGGGATATTCTTAATATCTC